TTTCCCTCATTAAAATGCAAATCAATTTATAACATTTTTGACATGCGTTTTTCTGGATTTTGTTGTTGTTATTGTCTCTCACTGTTCAAATAAACCTACCATTAAAATTATAGACTCATCATTTCTTTGTCAGTGGGTAAACGTACAAAATCAGCAGGGGATCAAATACTTTTTTTCCCTCACTGTATTATGGTATTATCTTACTCCCTTGGGAATTATATTTGTGGCTAACCAATCTTTGACACAAGCTTGTCTGTCTGTGTGTCTCCGTGTCTGTCTGTGTGTCTCTGTGTCTCCGTGTCTATGTTTTGTCTCTCTCACATTTAGCAATCTTTAGAAGAACGTAATAAACCAGGTGGGGTGTTGACTGTTGTGTTGTATTGCATTATATTTCCAAGTTTACTATGTTTGTTTTCTCATTCATTTGTAACGGATGGTTGCTTGTTGCAATCGAAACGTCGTATTCTATTATTTTTAATTTAATTTAGACGTGACTTTACCGAAAGGACCAAAGAGTAATTAAAATGTTTAATAAGCTTGAGAACAGAGATGTGTATATGACAATACGGGGTATGCCACAGATTAAATGTAGAGTTCTGAAAAATAATAGCAAATATATAATAGCTGAACCAAATGTTTAAAGTTAGTTATTACTTGTAAAGATTATTTTGGGACCTCCTTTGCCAGTAACAAAAAAAAACCTATTATCAAAGATTATTTTGTAAATCCATATGAACACGTTTCACAGAATTACACTGTTTCAGAGATTGTTTGTAACTGTTGTTAAAGAAACTGTTAGTAGGAATCCTAAAAATCCACGAAAAGGTGCATTTTTCTTTATATTATTTCTAGGTTGCTAAAACAAAAAAAGATAACCCCGCACGACTGACTGACGGGCAAATAACAGCGTGTGTCCCTAGCAATGCAACCCCGCACAGAAATGCGCTTGGCACGTGCATGGTGGCATTTTGCTTACGTCAGCGAGCAAAGGTAGGAAACCGTAAAGAAACTGGAAATGACAGGAGATGGAACGCACAAAGGGCGTTTTGCCTTTCCTATAAATAGCCTTCAGGCAAACCAGGTACGTGGGAGTGACGTCAGCATCCAGGAATGTTGCGCGTGGTGCACGCATCACCTGTGCGTTGGTAAGGTGAACCCTGCCCACCCCTCCCCCACCCCATGTATTGTGTAGCTACACACATCAGTAGGTGTCGACCGCGAGGGGAACTTACATTCCTCGAGCTGGATAATATCTGGGTTTATTTATGTAGGCATTTGTGAACTTTAAGGCCTATTGTGTGCTTGTGCATACACAGATACACTCGCACGTACGTCACATAGGTACACATGTGAAATCTTGACTTAAAACTTTCGAGACTGCAGGAATACATATTCTATGGGTGTTTCGGTAAAGCCACGTAAAAAAATATCACGACGTTTCGATCGTGATATATTTTTTTATTATTTTTCTATCTACGTGGCTTTACCGAAAGACCCATAGAATATACATAATCTGCCTTAGTACCGGATCCAAAGCATCTTTTCTAAAAGGCTATGGATGTCAAAGGGCTTTCATATAAATAAATATTGCGATTGGAAGTGCCGGTTGTTTATTTTACTCTTTCTATCTTTGAGGCACGTGACAATATATATTGTGCACATTTGAATTCAGAAAGTTTTGTGTTTCTGGATGTTGTGCGATGAGACCTGTGTTGTCAATTGCGTATTATCAATATATTTTGAGTGGCGGTGGTGATGATGATTCAATCACAATACAATGGGATATTAAATCAATGTTCTACAGTGCTGTACGTATTAAATCCTTAACCATTGTTTTGTTAGACGCAGAACATCATGTATATACGAGCTTATTTTCCCGCCCTAGGACGGAAGCTGTAATATTTACGAAACAATTGAGCAGAGTATAATTGTATCTTGTGTAAATTTAATGCCAGTGAATCTTGCACAAAACGAAGTCATCAAATACTTCACTGCATTTCACTGTATCACTGTATTAATGGCAGTGATTCTTGCACAAAACGATGTCATAAAACACCTCGCTTCATATCACTGTAGCACTGTATATAAACTGACCTTCAATTTGTTCAAATTCACTGCTCTGATACTTTATTCTCTTCTGCTTTCGGTCGCTGGGGTTGAAATAAATTGGAAATCGATGCAATATCTGGAAAATCACCGAGAAATGTCTATTTTACCATAATGTAGAAGCATAAATTAGCTTTACCTTTTGTCTCAAGTGCTGAAGAAATAAACAAAGACACCAAATCCACTTTGTTGCTGCGTAGAATTCTTTATTAGATTCATTTTTAAAAGCGAATTTGCGTGAGTGTAAAAATCCACCCGCTCATGAATATTAATGACGGGGGGGGGGGGGGTGCGGCAAGTGGAGTGACGTCACGCGCGTGACGCACAAACAAACATTATTGGCTCATTATAGTAGTAATTACTCTGTCCTGTATATACGATCCAGTACATTCATCAGCTACCAGGATCAGTTTTTTTTTTACAAATTCTTCTAAATAAAACATTGACGATCAAAATTGTTTCAACTGCGCACTCCTAAATCCTTAGATCTTGTTACTCATTTTGATAACTTTGAACGTTGTTGTTCATCTTTGTGTATGCAGGACAGCAAAAGGAACCGGTTAAACCAGACCATACCCAGCCTCACAATAGCGACACGTGGATTGTTTTATTGCTATTTTTACGTACCTTAATTTCAGTTCATGGGCACTGTGTAGTTTAATTGTCAGCAAAGTGAAGCACGCCCATACATTCTGTACAATACTTGCATAGTTAACACTGTGTGACTCTGCTCGAAATATCAGATCAGCCGTTGAGATTAACACGCGCAATGGAGACGCCTGCTGAGCCCTTCATTTTATGGTCTTACAGTAATTGTGCAGGGTGGGGGGGGGGCCCAGTATTTATCTTATACAGTCCACTATTCGAAAATATGTAGGATAAAACTATGTAAAAAGGGGGGGGTGGGATGGAGCTGTGGTACAGCGGTGAGCTCGCTGCATTGTGAATCCCAGTCAACCGATTTAAATTCCTGTTCACAGATAAAATCCGTGGCAAAGTTATACAGTATCAGAATTGGCCCTGCTCTTGCCCCACCTTCACCAGTCAGCGTGGTGAAGTATGGCCAAACTGTCCCCATGGCTGACATAGCGTGGTGAGGCCCTCATCCATTGGTGGATTGAGAATTATGAATGAAAAAATAATTGGATACACTTTATGTATTAAGCGTCTTCAGGTTAAAATGAGCAACAATTCAACCCCAGTGTATATTTTTTTATTGCCAGTGCTGTGCTCTACATTTTTGGTGAGCTCATGGGCACTGACCCTAAAACCAACGACTGTACTGTATAGTTCACACTTCCTTTATTTCTGTAGTAGTTGTCGTCTGGAGAGACTGTCTCCCATCACAGGACGGGGACATCAAGAGACATTAAGCACGACCATGATCAACGCTCCGTAATGCTCAACATACAGTGACTGTAGAGATGCTGACTTTTTAAATAATACAAAATGAAACTCAACACATTCGTCAATAGCACTGCCTTGAATGGCAATATGTATTACGGCCAAAGACCCTTTACGACTGACATGGTGTGAGGAGGGATTGAGAATTGCCTGGATTTAGATTGAAATTGTACAAATATATTTAATTGGATAAACAATTAATGTGCCTTAAGGTTAAAATGTGCAACAATGTGTGTGCTATCAAGAAAGGCCAATGCCTGAAATATTCCCGATATTTTTTCTTTCCTTTTAACGAATATATAGAGTTATTTTTTTATGAATTGTGAGTGTTGCAGCACTGCAAACTGCAGCATGACCAAATAGTTTTGTTGACTTTTAAAATGCTGGACGTACAACCCTTTGTGTGAAGAAGCCACACCTTTTGGGTCACGTTGGGTTGTTTGGTCAGTGCAGTTTGTGAAGGAAGTGGGTGCTCAGGGCCCCATGTCAGATACCACTCGGCGTTGGTGTTAGCCACGACCCGGGAATCGAACCGGTGGCATTAGCCATGGATGCCAGGTTCACGGTGTCATGTGCCAATCTTTGCATCACTTGCTTTGACCTTTTCAGAATATGGGTTATTCCATCGTTAAGGTTTGAGTGACGTCAGTAATGTTAAGCACTGCTGTACAGCGTCTTCCTGAGGAATTTAGGTTTTTTTTTTTATTCAAGATGTAATGTCTTCGTTCCTTTTTAAATTTAAAGATGTGATAACCCAAAAAAAACTTACGGATGTAATGTCTTATCGCAGAAATTTGATGCAGACATGTAGTAAGAACATTTTTAGGAATGTTTTCATAGCTTTAAGTCAACATTTACGTTTTAGAGAGTTAAACTGGGGGGGGGGGGGGGTCACGAGACATCTAGACCACCCTGTACTACAGAGTATTGTTTATTCGCCCCTCATAGGTGCTTACTAAGAGCACTTGCCCCACCAGTCTGTTAGGGCTATACAGGGGGTGGGGATCATTGTCTTTGTTTTGTTTATTCGGGAACAATGACAATGCTTTGCCAATGGCATTTACCGGTCTCCAAGCTCAGCTCTCTCTCTCGCAGTGATTCCTCAATGCTATTACATTACGGTATCTGCAGGTGACTAAAACAGGTACGGTTTATGTTTATGCATGATCTACTTCCCTGCACGCAAATGCAGTTTAACACGTAAGCGTTCACAAGTCACGGAAGCCGTTGTTTGTTGTTGTTTCCATTCATTCGTCGGTAACATTGGTTTCATTAGTAGGTGCCTATCCCAAAAGGACCGAAACGACTTTGAATACTGCTGTATTACAAGACTGTAGTGTTACAATTTGCAGGATCTCAGGAGAAGAGATATCACTTCCGAGGTTGTGATTGTGATGGGAGAAACCGAGAAGGGGGGCAATGTACAGGTTTGTACGAATGGTGTTTCCTTGCTGGTGAAGTAAAATGTTTGTAATTGTTATGTTTTACAGATTCGTCCCCGTTGCTCCTTGACATGAAAATTGCAGAGCCCAAAGCCCAGGAAAATGTGAAGCAAAAGGTAAGAAATGTGTACACTCACGTCGGACACGCGCGCACAACACATGCCAATATCTAACCTTGATACGTGCGGTTTGTATGCGTATCCACCATGGGTGAAATGTGGGTTGGTTATTCTTGCATTGAACCCTGTCTTGTACATATGGCATACTTAAAGTACACAGCATGTAACCCAATGACTAGTGATTCCAGTTGTTAATCAGCACAAACTGGACGTTTCTGTCGCAAATATTTTTTGTACGTTAACCGAGACGATTAAAAGCGGACATTCTTTGCTGCCATGGTGACAGGTTTTTTTGACATTTGCTTGGACCAACCCACTTGGAGGCGAAATATTTGCAGGGCCATCACTTTGCGTTTAATAATCAGGGAGAGGTCTCTCCGAGTCAAAACCGCTGGAGCTTGCTTTGTAATTTAAAGTATTTGGTTCGTTCAGTTGAATGCATTTTAACAGCACACTACATACTTTTCAAGTGTAATGCCGTATAATGTAACCACGGTGATTGCCATGTTGTACACTGAACAAGTGGAACAAGTGAAAGGATTACGGGTATTTTACATGCTCATCTGAGCGATATATATGACATTCTTAACTACGTTTCAAATTCGAAATTAAGTTTAAAATTCGATATACATGCCAACATATTTACCCTTCAGTGTTGTTAACAAAATACATTGTTAAATAAATTTCTGACAATTCACATGTACTGCACTGTTTTTATAATGTACATATACTGCAGAAGATTTCATTTGGAATTTAAAAAAACCCACTTAAATAAACCTGCACAATTGTTTCACGTCTCTCATTTATGAGTCTGCCGCAGGAGTAACATTCCGTCTTAAACAGATCAATATAAAAACAAATATTGCAGTACAGACTGTGTATAATCTGTGCGTGATATGGTGGGTTGGCACAGGTGGTGACATCGGCCAGTCAGTCAAGCCATGGCACCTGCTGAGTCTGTCCTGTGACCTCTTGCCAGTGGGCGTTTGACGCGTCACATGGCCTTAACGTGCACGTAGCTTGGCACAAGCGCCATGGTGTCATCACCGCCACTTAGTCGCGAATGGCGGTTGTTGTTGTTGCTGCTCCTTTGACGAGTCCACAGAGAATCCCACTTGCTGATGAAATTGCCACGCATGCTAACTGTTTGTACTTATCAAGAGCAAACCCCCTGCCCCACACCTCCTTAATCCCAGGCTGTTGACGAACAAAAGTTGGCCAAATCATTGCGTTCTTGCCTTTCTCCGCCGCAGATCGATGCTGTCCGTGCAATATTTCCCAACCGGAGTAAGAATGAAGTTGTTCTGGTGCTGCAGCACTTTGATTACAGTGTGGACAACGCCGTGCATGCCTTTCTCGAAGGTAAATTGTGCCACACCTCGGCACAGCAGGGTCTGAATTTCCCACCCATGCTCATTCAGTAACCCCATATTGTTTTTATGAATCTACAAATCTGTTTTCATTTTCAGTTTAACACCAACGCTTTCGCGACCGATATTATCCATAACCTGTTGTATATATTGTGGGTTTATGCTTCAACACATCGGTGTGCTGTACTAGTAACAAATTGGCATGTTTTGTTTACGTGACAAACTTTACTAATTGGATGCGCCGGGTCTTGGCGGGTTTAACGACAGACACTTTTATACTTACGCGATTTAACCCAAAAATCTCTTCCTGATTTGAATTGTTTAATGTGGGTGGATTGACCACACTAGAATTGCTAGGCGACAGTCATTGTTTCAAAGAACGTGTGCCGTTGTGAAACGACTCTGGAGTGCACGCTTTGGGGCAAGTTAAATTCCACCGGGTAAAATTTTTGCCACTAGATGTTTCTGCATGTGTTCAAAATATTATGTTGCTTAAAGGAAGCAGTGGTTCCAAATATTACGTTGCTTGAAGTAAGTGTTACGTATGAAAACGGACACAACTGAAAGGAGAGCGACGTCTTTGTATTCGTTTTATGATTTAGTATTTTTCTGAACTTTGGCTTCAGTCAATACTCATTGTAACAATGTCAGCTATTGAGAGCATCTTGTCTCCATCCATCATTGCTCCATAGAGTTGAACACAAATGTCACAAATGTACATTTCCTTTGCCTTTATCTATAGTGCTGTATTACAGTATATATTCGTATATATTTATGCTTCTACCAGCTGTTTTTCCTAAACTGGGTGCCACGGTGGTGAGGTGTTAACTCCCTCTCCTGGTATACAGGAGGTTATGGGTTCGATCCCGACTCTGTATATTTAGAGTTTGCATGTTCTCCCCGTGGTCACGTGGATTTTTCTCCGAGTCCTCCGGTTTTTCCCTCCACATTTAGAAACATGCGTTTAGGGTATTTGGCTGCTATAAATTTCATTTGTGGCCAGGTCGCTTCTGAAAAAGAGCTATAGCTCAGTGGGCCTTGCCTGGTAAAATAAAAAAAATTGTTTAGTTTTAACTCACACGCAGTGCGTTACCCTGCGATATCTGCACTGTGGAGCCTCTACATTTACAAAACTAAAGTGTTTTTATCTAAACATATGGGTCTCATCTGTTCATGGGATGGGGATTCACGTGGGGGTGAGTGTGAGACCACTGGTTCAGGAGTTATTTGTTAGTTTATGGTGTTATCTTGTATTTTGTTCATGTCCACACGGTCAGCATGACTTTTGCTTTTCCAATAATTGACTCTACGCAACAGTTCAAAAGTTAATCTTGCAGTACTGCACAAAGAATGCAAACTGACATTTTACTCGAAAATAATAACAGTGTAAGATCAGAAGAGAACTGTCCAAGCACTGCCATGTATCACATCACAATGTGCTGTGGTTGCAAAATTAAAGGGGTACATATTTAATTAAATGCTCAATTAATGTCCTATTTATGTCAAAACTGCACTGCCCAAGTACGCATGGTAAAACCCTATTACTGACATGGTATTGGGAGACCTTTTTTTCCATTTTGTAGATTGAGTGGCTGGAGTAAATATATATTTTATTAGATATGCATGTTTGTGCTGATTTAAGGACAATTTACTGTTGATGAAGTGATTCTGTGACTGAGTGTGACTGACTAGTATTTATTTACAACTCCAAAACTTCAGTTTCAGAGCAGCAGAAATGTAACTTGTTATGTTGTAGATTACATCGATTCCAAAAACTCTTGGTCACTGTATATTTATTTTCTGCAACAGGAAATGTCTCAGAAATTCTGGGTGCCTGGAATATGACAAAAAAGAAGGTATTTATATACTAGTAATATTCTTGACCCATGTCACCTATTAATTATGTAATAACATAATATGTTGGAAGATGCAGTATGTTGGTGTCGCATATCTGTCAACCCCTTATCAGTGCCTACCTTATTACGGACCAATTCAGGCCTTATTGCTCACCCCGTGCCCTTATAAATCTCAACGTTCATCCTACAATGTCCCATCACAAGGGAGAAACACAAAAATAGACAAAAACGTGTTTCTCCCATATTGATTCGGGCTGTACTCCGTATGGATCTGAAAACTCAATTTCCCTGTACAAGAATACGGGTACACCTTATGGGTTGACCAGGTATGGTGTTGTAACCGCGTACACTTAATATTTCTGACTCTGAATGCAGTGAAAGTACGGTGCTCGCTCACTTTGTTTTTATAGACTCCAAAAAAGAAAAAAAGCAAAGCTCAAGACGACATAGACGTGCAGAATCCTGAAAGGGCTGAGGCAAAGGTGCCGTCTCATGCTTCTGCCACGGAGCCTGGGGCATGTGCAGCCGAGGCAGCCAGCGAAACTTGCTCGGGTGTCAGCGAGCACAGCAGCGTTTTTGAAGCGGGCTGTGACGGTGCCTTGAAAGACGGGTTTCTGCAAGACGCGTTGCTTTCGAGTGAAAGGAGGAGTGGAACGGGTGTCGATTCCAGACATTCGTCCTTTTGCTCGGAAAGAGACCATGTGGACAGTGGTTTCCTGGAGAATGGTTCTGATCAGCAGCCGGCGAGCCAACCATTCAACTCTGCACCTCTCTCTCCAGGTGAATAATGATAATAATGCTCTTATTTTTTCATGTATTTGTGAGTTGATCCGCAATTGGTATTCATTCTTGTTGAGTCTGAAGAGGCCAGCGCGCACGGCTTCAGGAGTAGCCTGGTGAATATTTGAACTGCCGTCAGCGAATTATCAAAGTGGCCGGCGTCGTTCTAAGCAATCCATTATATAATTATTCAATGTAGACTCACTGGTGAGGTAAAAAATGTTTTATGAAAATATCTTAAAAGCATTATTTCCCGCGGTGAACTTCGATGATAATTGACTTAAATTGCTTTGCTTTGGCAGGTGCGAAGAAAATTCATTTTCAGGAGCAAGTGTATCATGGTTTACCACAGGAATGTTCCAAAAGTCCGATGGGCCAACCTGAAAATGCTTTTGACATTAGTAACAGTCGTGGAGTAGTGTCAACGCATAGTTTAATTTGTTCATCCACTTCTTCAGACAGCCTGCCTGGTGCCTCTCCACAGCGTGGGACTGTGAATCGCCAAACTGAAATAAGTTTTACACATCATGATGACAGGGAAACTACTTGCTCGTCTTTTAAAAGCAACTTAAGTGCAATAAGCAAGCATAGTAGCAGCAAAGTACCAACTGACAAGTGTAGTAACTCTGATGCAACAAAGAAGACCAGCAATTTAGTCGAGAATCATCATAACTGTCACATCTCAGGGCCTGAGTCTAACATTGACAGTGTGCCACCAGTTGCCAATGTGGGATCACAAGGGCAGCAAAAAAGCAATTTAGCTCATAAAGAGCAAACAGATATCAAAGTAGGTGTGGGCGACAAAGGAAACATCACATCCCTAGCAGCAGATACCAGTGGCGGAGTTTTAAAAACCACAGTTAATCTTGACAAACATTCCGCTCCTCCAAGTGCATGCAGGGAGCAGCCTGGCGGTATTGGCACAACCATAACATGGGAGGACCAAACTAAGGGGAGAGACGGCAACTCAAATGATATTTTGGGAAGGGGAATAGGTGTTGCCAGTGACATAGAGAGGAATGGAAACTCACCTGCCATGCCTTCCGCTTCGTCGACAGGCACTGTCCACGTGTTTGGCCCGGCAGACATTTATAGCAGAAGGGAGAAAATGTTATTAAAGCGCAGCGTTAGTTTGGGTACACAACGTCAGGAGAATGGTGATGGAGCAGTTGGAACAAAAGTCCAGTTAGACAGGAGGAGAAGCAACCCAGCGAAGGTAGAACATAACTCTCAAGTATTTGACGTCAATTATGGCTTGGAGAAAAAAGCGACTGCTATGAGCCTCGGGGACATCGGTCTGAACTGCACAAAAACGCCGATCCAGAACAACAGAGACCCTGATGGTGCAGAACAGTCAGGTGCAGCTGTAGCTGCAGATGCACCTGACCAGGGTAGAAGGGACAGCCAGACTGGTCGAAGGGACAGCCAGACTGGTAGAAGGGACAGCCAGACTGGTAGAAAGGACAGTCAGACTGGTAGAAGGGACAGTCAGACTATTGGTCAGGACAGCCACTCTGTTAACGGAGATACCCAGCCTGCTAGGGACAGTCAAAATACCAGAACAGATAACCAACCTACTAAAAGTGACACTTCATCTCTCAGAAGAGACAGTCAAACTGCTATACAGGAGAGCGAATCTGGTCATCAGGGTAGCTCTACTGACCGGAGGGACAGCCAGCCTAACAGAAGGGATAGTCAGTCGTCTAGAAGAGATAGCCAACCTTCCAGAAGAGACAGCCAGTCTGCTGATAAAGACAACCAAAGTAATCGTGGGGATAGCCAATCTGCGAGGCGAGACAGCCAGCCTATCAGAAGGGACAGCCAGTCTACTGATAAAGACACCCAATCTGCGAGGCAGGACAGCCAGCCTATCAGAAGGGACAGCCAGTCTGCTGATAAAGACAGCCAATCTGCGAGGCGGGACAGTCAGCCTATCAGAAGGGACAGCCAGTCTGCTGATAAAGACAGCCAATCTGCGAGGCGGGACAGCCAGCCTATCAGAAGGGACAGCCAGTCTGCTGATAAAGACAGCCAATCTGCGAGGCGGGACAGCCAGCCTATCAGAAGGGACAGCCAGTCTTCCAGACGGGACAGCTCAACTGCTAAACAGGAGAGCCAAGTGGACAATATGGAGAGCGACGTCTCGAGGAGAGACGACCAATCCGAGAGGAGGGACAGCAGCCAGTCTGACAGGAGAAACAGTGCAAGTCAGAGGAAGGAGAGCAATGCAGACAGAATAGATAGCAATACGGGAAGAAAAGGTAGTCTTCCTGGCCGAAAAAACAGCAACTCTGGGCGTAGGGACAGCGGTCCCCACAGCAGAAGGGACAGCAACCCAGATCAAAAGGATGGCAAAGGTGGGAGGAGAGACAGCGGCGGATCCAGCAGAAAAGAGAACCGGAGAAGGCCAGGTGCGTTGTTTCCTCCGCATTGTGAGTAGAATTGTATGGAATGAAAGGACGGGTTTCACAAAACACTTTGAAACAAAATTTTCAGTTTTTAGCTGATGATAACAAACGCTTGAATGGAAACTGTTATTTTGAAGATACAAAAAGTGACAACAAGCTGCCGTTCTTCTCGTTGTTGTGTATTTTACTCGGATTTAATGAAATATTCAAATTCCCAATCTATGGCCATGACATTATATTTTATTATCACGTATAGATAACACTATGTAATGTTTGCCTTCGGATATCGTTCCACGCTGTTCAAGCGCAGGCATCACTAAAATACACATCTCAAATTCCCATGCTTTGTCCCAAACTGTTTCCTCGATTAAAATGCTCATTTCCGATGACAGGCATTGCCAGTGCAACCACATATCAGGTTTCTCGTTGATTGTTGTAGTGTTCATTTACCAAATGTATAATTTAAATATTTTTCTTGTATTTAAATGTGTTATTATGAATGATTCGTTTGTTTTATACCAAAGACTTTAGCAAAGTTTAAGCACTGTATGGAAAATATTGCACATTCGGTGTTCATTATTGAAAATGTGTGATTGGCACAATTTACTGTCTGTTGCTTCTTCAATGAATAATATCACTTCTACTAATATTTCTTAAATATTAAATAAGCAATTGCATACTGTAGTACATAAGGCATATCCTGCACATAATCACGGTAAGTAGAAGGCTTCTTTCATGTGACGGCCAGCTATTTAATTAATTTATATAATTGTCATTATAGGTGGGAACGTAGAAAAATCAGTCAAGGATCTTCAAAGGTGTGTGGTATCATTAAACAGATACCAAACATTACTCAAGGAAGAAGCAGAAGGTTCCACCAAAAATATAAAGGCAGCATTTTCTGAAATAACTGATTGGTAAGTGAACTTGTGCAGCGTGGGTTTGAAAGGACTTTTGACTGCTAAGAGATGAATAAAGAAACACGTTTTTCATCATCAGTCTGTTCCTATTCTTAGTTCTCTTGCGTATTTCAATAACTGGTGAATGCCTCCCCACACGATATCATGGGGGTTGTGTGACAATACTTCACCACGCTGGTCAGTTCAGGTCAGGTGCCTCAGAACTGGTTTATCAATCACTCGTCACTGATGTTAGCCATGTCACGTGTGGTGGGACGAATTGTGGGTACTCCCACCTCTTCCAAGACGTTTGGCTAGCGTGGAAGAATAGGCCCAAATGTATGTACTATATGTATGTTGAACTTCTTTCACACCGTACATAGCCAAACGTGCTAATCAGAAGCGTGTGGGTAGGACAACAAACTAAACACGAAAAGCAGTTCTAAAGAAATTAGTTTTCAATCTAGATTTAAGAGTGCATGCCTCCAGTAGCTTCCTAATATTGGAAAGGAAGAGCGTTCCAGACAACTGCAGAAGCACATCTGAAAGCACGAGATGCAGTGACCATCTTGATTCGATGGTTAGCCAAAAGCCAATGTGAGGATGGTTTATGCTCCTTGATGCGATCAGCAAGGTATTGTGGTTCAAATATTATGTAGAGGGGCTTTCTAGAGCTCCCACTATTAGAGGCCCTTCCAGCAATGGCCTAAGCAAGCAAATGCAGAAAACTCCAAATGTAATTGGCCAAACATCCAGATGTGCCACCCCACTGAAAGAGTTGGCTCAGTGGGTATATTCCTGGGTTAAAAGGAAATCCTGTGCAACTATTAAGACGTATTGCTTGTGTTTCTGACTTCAAGGCTCATGGACAGGGAGGTGAGCATCTTCACAGAGCTTGATAAAGTTAAACACGAAGCGAGTAAGTGCTGCAGCATGCATTTGCATCAAGAACACTAACTAAATGCCAGTTATATATAAATTGCTGAGCAAAAGAGAACGGTTTAAATGCTGCTATCATCTATATGCCTTTTCAAGATAAATTGCCTACATAAACAGCCAATGTAATTACCAGAATCATCGTTAACACTGGCAAGAAGAAAAATAAATAATATGCTAATAGTTGGGGTAGTATTTGTTTAAAGCAGAAGGTGGGCAGGCAAAATATTGAGTAACTTGCTCTTAATGGTTTCAAATAAAGAGCCAGTGACGAATTAATGTACTAAATGGCTCGATAAAATTACTTTTAAACATAGTTTTAAAATATTATGTAATTCAAATACATTTTGAAATATGACCTATTCATTTTCAGTATTTCTTGGACCAACTAAGTTTTTTTTTAAATTTAGCTTCAACCGTGGCCTGATTTATCTCTTGGCTGTGTTTTGACATGTTTGTCACGGGTACCCATTTATCTCTGTAATGTCCTTGCAGTGAGCATACTAAATGCAAGGCAAAGGAAAGCAACTGAGCTGAAAAAACTCTGTGACAAGAACAATGCGGCCCAGATGTCTGATGCATATCTCACAGATCTGAGGGCTGAGATCAAGGTAAAGCAATTAACTTCAAGGCAATATGGAATGGGGCATGGTGTTCTCAATAAACCGCCTGTATTATATTTGAACTGTGCAGCTAATGAGCACACTTACAGCAGTGATAATGCTGATGTGTTTTAATTAGCTTTGAAATTTCCTCCATTTTGAGATCTTCATCCAGCAGTAGATTGACAAAGGGGCGGTACATGTATGTGGTTTTCCATTGCATCACTGCACAAGGAATTTACTATTGCTGTTTGTGATTTTCAGAAATTTGTAAGTGAGCGTAAATATGATGAGGACCTTGGCAAGACGGCTCACTTCATGTGGGACAGACAAGCCGTCAAGAAAATGATTGACACCTTTGGAAACAGTAAGTACTACATTTAATACAACTACTGCTACTACCGTATAGGTTTTCACAGTAATGCTGCATAGCTCTCCGATGTGTTATTTTCGTTGTTTACTGCATGCTGCTTGGCACGATATAAGTTCAGTCCTTCAGCAACTGAATTCAGTTCTTGAAGAGGCTGCCAGCAAGTGGAGCGAACCATCGGGCCTCATGGATGTGGAGCTAAACGTCATACAGTAATCGCTTCGAACAACAAGCAGTCCAACCATAAAACACGTTGTTAAACTCGACGAAAAAGCTGCGTGACGATAGGTGTGACTGCGTATTTTTTTAGTTCATTTGTGGTGCCGTACAGTGCAATTCAGAAACCCAGCACATTTAGTTTTACCAGGGGTGTGGCGATGCCTGTTCCTTTGTCATTTATCCATGTCGTGCAAGGATTGCTGGACTATTTTTTTGAAAGAGGTTCGACAAGTTGAATGAGGTTACGATTGAGCGCAATTTTTTTACGCGCTTTTATTTAACTTGCCCTGTTGTCTGTTTATATTATTTAAAATATTTTACGCTTAATATCTTCGGATCTACGAAATCTAACGTCGTGTCACGTGACCATTCAAGTTTTAATTTAAAGAACCGCTCCCAAGTCCCACCAATCATGGGCCTCTGTGTTTTTTACTTATTTTTTTATTCCACTATTGCAAATATATTACAATTATCCAGACAATAATTAACTATTAATAATGAACTATTATTGTCTGGATTGGAATCTTAGAATGAATATGTACATATAAAAATTATGTTTGCAAGATTAAAGTTAAATAAATAAAATCTGGTAAAAAAAACAAGTGTTTCAATGCACACACTTTTATTTGCACTCAAAAATAGAAAATACATTCTTTTGACCCCAGAATTTATGAAATTTTAAGTGCTGAATAAAATTGGGTGGCTTGCATTGAAAAACTAGTTTATTACCAAAATGTTTTAACATGAAATCACCAACGAAAAGTTGCATACATTTAACAGGTCCCGATCTTTAATGGAGTTCTGTTCTAATGGCGTCTGGTAAACTAGCAGCATTTGTTCAACCAGCCTGATTCTACTGATAAGGTTGAACAGGGTCCAGAGTTTGCCTGCTTATTCAAATGCTGCTGGACAATAATTTCCCTGAAAGCCAATAGGCCTATAGAATAAAAAAAACATTCTCATTTATATCTGCAGAAACAGAACGGCATTCTGTTTACGTATGCTCTTTCCCATACATAGTGGCTGTAATGTTGCAAAAAAACTACGTACGTCTTTATTTTCAGAAAATATGATTGAATATTTCTCTGTTTGCCAGTCACCCATCCAAAGTTTGGACACGCGGTGCCTGTCTCATTACCAGTGGATACCCTGCTCGAGGCCAGCACTGTTCACCAATCTTCATGCACTACCCCATCCCAAAGCCATCCCCTTTCAGCTCAAACTCCTACTCAGGTGGCAACGCTTACTCACAATAGTCCCCATCCAGTTCAACAAAGTCCTTCAGCTGCTGCCCAGTGCATTCCTCCTGCTGCTCCTCCTGTTCAGCTCAGTCCTGTCTCCATCACGCAAGGCAACTCTGTGGCTGCTTGTCAAGGAATTCCTGTTGCCAATTCTCAAGTCATGTTGGGGCCGATTAAAAAAATCTCTGAAGCTAATTCTGAACAAAGTAACGTAGCTACTACTCAACACAGGCATGCACCTGTTAATCAAAGCTCTCTGACCAATGCACAACAAAGTAGTGTAGCTACTACTCCATACAGGTCTGCACCAGTTAATCAAAGCTCTGTGGCCTATGCTCAACAAAGCAACGTAGCTACGACTCATCACAGGTCTGCAGCTATTGCTCAACCCAAGTCTGCACTTGTTCAAGAAAGCCTAATGGCCACTACTCCACACAGCACTACACCTACTACTCCACACAGCACTACACCATCTACTCCACACAGGACTACATCTACTACTCAACACAGCACTACACCATCTACTCAACACAGCACTACAACTACCAAGCCACACAGCACTACACCTACTACTACACACAGCACTACATCTACTACTCCACACAGCACTACATCTACTACTCCACACAGCACTACATCTACTACACCACACAGCAGTACACCTACTACTCAACACAGCATGACAGCTGCTACGCCACACAGCACTACACCTACAACTCAACACAGCATGACAGCTGCTACTGAACTCAGTGCTACAGCTACTACTCAGCGCAACACTAAAGTTGCTATGCAACACTGCACTGCAGCTGCTGCTCAGCACGGCACAACAGCTACCTCTCAACAGAGCCTTGTAACAAACAAACACAACACGGAGCATGCCAAACAGCAGATGTCGATCACAATGGCTGGTGAAAGAAGCAACCTTGTTAGTGCCACGCAGAAATGCTGCGTAACTCCTGCTCACGGTAGACCCACGACCGTGGCATCGGTTGAAAGGGATGCACCGCAGAAGGGCGTCGCAGCACCTGTCGAGAGCAAAGCTCTTCTTGCAACGCCTTCTCAAAGCAGCCTCGCCGGTACCCCTGCGAGAAGCTCTATCGCCGTTGGGAGCAGTCCAACAACAGCTCACGTCAGCCCTGCGACGACCGGGCACAAAAGTTCCGTGACTGCCGCCCAGGCGGGCTCTCGGACTATGATTTCAGCTCAGAATGGTCCACTTGCTGGTGCGCAGAGCTGCTTGCACAGCGGGAGCGCGGCGTCGGACGCATCCCAGGCCGCCACAACGGTCTCCGCTACCCCAGCAAAGGTACAAGCCCTCTTGCAAGATAAACACGTTTACATTTGTTTTTTTTTTTAAGTGCGTTCACCTGAGTTTTGTCATCCGATTTCTCCATTTCATATTCTAGGGCTGCATGGTGGGTGGGCAGCAGAGGACAGATGCACCAACATCCATTGATCTGTACTTTCTGTGTGCTCCCCCCTGTTTATGCATTCCCACCCTTCACGAACGTGCGCTATCCAGTGTGGTGAAGTATGGTTAAATAACCATAAAACAGTGTAGGAATGCCTTCAGCGGTGGATTGACAAAAAGGGCTGTACATATGCATGTGTTCATTTATGTTAAGAACTTTTGTAATGTTTGTGAAAATTACTTATCCTTGACTTTGTCATTTCACTCGCTCGTGTGTTGTGGCTGAATTCTGCAGGTGGGTGTGGCTAGACTCACGCATCGCACTGGACCCATACTCGGCTACAGATCTGGCTCGGCCACCAGGGAGGGCATGACGAGCCATCAGCACAATGGAATGCCAATCCTAGCCAAGAAATCTCCAGTCTCCAAAACTGCACCCTTCAGTGTTCCAATCACAACACTCATGGCCAGTCCACCTTGTGTTTCTCAATCCACAACCTGCACCAATGCCCATCCTTCCAGCTCCAGTGAAGCCAACAATAAGCCTCGTAGAACTGGACCCATCAAGCCCAAGAAGCCTAGTTTGGATGCTACGGCAACAGTGCCTTCTGGCCAGGCATTGCAGAGTCCAGAGAAAAGTGCTTCTACGGAGAAAGATTGTCTTCTGCCTGTGGTGGCTCTGCCACAACGAGAAGGTAGACGATCAAGAGACACTCTGAAGCCGCCTGTTTAAAGGCCCATCATTGTCTTGCCCTGGTGTGTGGGCTGCATGCACAGGGACATGCCCGAGTGTCCTGCAGTGAGCTCTACGGAAGCCTAAATGTAGCCTTTTCTCATGAAGCAATCTGCAAACACTTTTCCGCCTGTTTTGGGCTCGGGCATTTTATTTAGAGATCATAAAAAATCTTGAACATCTTTTACAGTTTTTTTGGGGAGCGACTGATTTTAAATCAATCGCCTATTTAAGATAATGCTTGAGGCACTTCACGTAAACTGCATAAATTATGCGTCTCACCATTTTTAGTTAAACAAATGTAATCAACAATGTGAAAGTATATGGGTCGTATGACATTGTAATTTTAAATGTGTGATTTCATCTGCATTGTGATGTATCCAAAGACATGTTTACGAAATAAATAATATGTTAAATATATGTTAACTGCTGTACAAACATTGTTAACAATGTAACCATTGTACAGTATTGCCAAAATTGAAGATGTATTATTGTGGTAACCACGATTATAGACTTCTGTTCTCTAAAGATTAGGGGGTAGTGGAGAAACAATGAAAAGTTGTACTTTAACATTTTGTTCTGGAATGTGCCTTTGTACAAAGACGTTTATGCTGCATTTTAATGACCAATTGTAAAGATGATCACGTATTTGAAATGTTTTAAATTTGTACTCAAGGAAGGTGATATTCTGGTTCGACTAAAATAGTTTGTGATGATGTTTACTTTCACTATGATAACGAGGTGTTGAAATATGGGTGAATGAAACTGCTTCTGTGCGAACGCATTTGTATCGTGGGATTACGGTTGATCTACTTTTATTTAAAAAAAAAAACCTATTAAATCACAGATGGAGAGTGTATGAAAAGGCTGTGTGAGGTCAGCTACCACGTGATCCTGCACTCTACCTTGTGACGTCACTGAAGCGATACCTTGCTGACTGTAACATTGTTAAGATTTAAAATGAAAGACACGTTTAGTGCGTGTTTGAATTGCACCGTTTTTTTAATGGCTAAACATTTTGAGATGTTACGGTAAGTTAAGTGTATGTGGTCAAATTATGAATTAAAGTACAGTACACATCTAAAAAGCACCGACTTCATGGTTTGGCACCTCGACACCCGAGGCGCGCGTGAGTATTGCTACACAGTTCATCATTAAAACAACCCACGTGACCAGAGGCAGCTCTGTGCACTTGCATAACACCGTGCCGTCAGCACACGATGTTGCATTAAGCGGTACACGTCCCCATCTATGGGTGACAAATTAATTCCCTTGAGGTGCTTTGCCTATGGCCAAATCATCCTGAATGAGCTCGATATTATCACATCTCGTAAGCTAAGCAGTGATGAGCCCGGCTGGTGTTTGGATGGTAGACTGCCTCGGAATACAAAGGGCCCGTCCATAAGTGACGACACGCGATTTTGGACGATTTTTGACCCCCCCCCCCCCCCCCCCATCGTCACGGTGTCACAAAAAGTCAGACCCCCCACTCAAATATGACGTCACAAAGCTCTGCCCCCCCCCCCAAAAAAAAGAAAAAGCATCATTCAAATCGCTTTAAACTATTGTCATTCTAGTGTATATTTAATGTGCCGCTGCACTCTGATGTTATATGAGAAAACATTCATTAAAAAGTCTATTTAATTAAGTAGAACGTGTTGTCTATATTTATTTAAAGTTGCGCATTTTGTTGTGATGTCACATTTCTCAAACCCCCCACCTCGTCACACATCGTCACAAATGTCTGACCCCCCCCCAGGTGCGTGGCGTCATTTATGGACGGCCCCCAAGGCATTTGAATAAAAATCATTACATTAAATGTTTAATGTTCAGTATTTGCTCGCTCTTGAAAACAGAATGGCTCGGAGGCGTGAGATACCACAGACAAGCGGGAAAGGCAGTCGGGTGATGAGCCAATGCCAAATTCTACCACCAAGCTCTGCAATCCTCTACGTATTAAGGTGTTATTGGTTAATTGAGTGTTGCTATGTTTTCGGAAGAAACCAGAGCACCTGGAGAAAACTCATGTATGCGAGGGGGCAACACTATCCCATTCAGCTGGACATTAGTCCACACTCGCTGTACTGTCATCTGGCAAGACAGGGAGGGTATGGCAACCTCAATGCCCATGGGAAGGAAATTTCACAGCAGTTGTACGATCCGCCAACCCTTGCTTCCAGTGCTGAATTACAGGCGTGTGCCCCCACTGCCTCCCGGTGGTGGGTGCAAGGTGGCCAGACGATGGAAATGCAGTAAAGTTTATACTTTAATACATTTGTGATGAGCTTTGAGTATTACCCTCCTGTATGCGTGGGGTTTTTTTTATATAGTTACTGCGATTTCCTCCCACAAGTTAAATGCTCACACTCGAGATTGTCTAAATACGGTATCTCAATGCAATAACCTCTTGAATACTAGTATTGAGATTTAGCGATGCTTTCCTGGGTAATTAAAGAGGTTTGTTATTGGTCAAAGACGCGCGCCTAATCATTGGAGACTTGCAATTGCAACACGGCCCACGGGGACTCTTCATGGAGCATCCAATAGCACAGCAGTAACAAGGCTAAGATAAATTATTTATGCAATGTGGTGGTCACATTACATGGCCATGTATGCATGCTGGAAACTGCCTTACTGATGGTTGCGTGAACACTTTGGTGTAGTTCATTAAATTTGTTTCCAGCTTCCAGACGTGTTGTAATGGGGTTTCTTATACACATATTGCTTTCATTGCCTTTAGGTAGATGCTAGTGGGGGACTCCACAGTGGAAATGCAAGCCCTCTCTAAATACATGCTCCAAGAGGCGTTGATTAATGGACTGTACTGATGAATCCGAATTGTGATCAAACTGGTCTCTAGTTTTTTTACTTAAAACTTTCGTGACTGCAGGAATTCATATTCTTGGTTCTTTCGGTAAAGTCACGTAGATAGAAAATAACATAAAATGAAAGTATATATAAATAATAAATAATAACATTTTAATGATAAAAGCAAAAAACCCACGACGTTTCGATCGCAACACAAGCGATCTTCATCAGGCGGAGAGTCTATCTTGCCGAATGTAATTTCTCACTCGTGCACGGGGCTGATGCTACCGTCAATCCCTTGGGGAGGGGGGTGGCGTCAGGTTTAGTGGTGGCTCTTGAGGTGGCTGAGGAGTCCCAATTTGTGGATCCGCAGATCTCTGAGTGCACGCCGTGGTCCCAGATGGAAGTGGAATCCGCGGTGCCGGGGTTGGTTTCCTCTCCCTGTCTTCTTTGGCGACGATCCGAGACGTTAGGGCTCTACGTGAGGCCGCGGGCCCCGGTGGATGTAGCGGCGTCTCCCGAGGCGGCTGCAGCCTGCTGCTCCTGCCAGTCTTGAAGGCTGACGCTCGATGTGCATCTAATTTAACATGGGGAGAGGGGGGGGAGGCACTGCACCTTTCGGCGCTTGCATCCTCACCAAAGCAGTGTTTTATAACCGTGCAGCGGGCTCTCGCCAATTCAATGGCCTCTTTGAAAATGAGTATATGACCTTTGTTAAAAGGCACTGATTCACCAAAGTGTGCAACTGTTGGTGACGCAATGTAATTACAGAGAATTTCAATGGCTTTGGACATTCACTTCAGACACTTTAAAGATCTGGGTAATCATTTATGTTATCATGAAGTGCCTTTTTACTTCGGCACATATCAACTAATTATATATATAAAAAAAATTGTCTACCTCTTCTTGATAAGAGAGAACTATTCATAAAATACCGTGGTGTAGGACATACTGAAACTAGATTATTTCATTCAGTTTCCTGTATGTGTCACACTATTAACCGATAACACAATTAAGCCATACATTCAAAAAATATAATTGCCTTCAAAATTACACCCAGTACGTATAATTCGGATGATTTTGACTGAGATCTTTATTTTTATTTTGGAACTGCCCTATAGAATATTAAAAAGTACAAAACAAATACTGCACAGTTGTACCAGTGATGGTCAATGTGTTAAAAAGTACCATGTACAATTTTACAATTACTTGGTCATAATATTTGGAAAACTATATTCCAATTTTTTTTATAGAAATATCTTCACTTCTGAAACATCTAATTGTAATGCGCAAGTCCTTATACGTATCCCTTTTTCAAATGTTTAGTTTAATTAAAAGTTTATGGGGTTTTGGGGTTTACATTATTTAAGGCTTTGGGTAATGGAACTGTAAAGAGAAAGTCCTATTTATGCAAATATATGAAAAATAATAATCGGTTTTACTCTTTTTGGCAATAAAACAGATGTTAAGATGTTCAAACACCAAATAGATATATTTTGCAAGGCATCAAGTCTGCATTAACCGCACGTGCTTGTGGTGAACATGCAAATAAAACGTGCTCTGATAATAAATGGGCATTGTCTTTGAAACTGTTTGGCCTACACCAGAGACAGCCTTCTTTATGGCCCAGTCTCACCAGTGTCAGACCATAGAACGGCAAGAGGCGACCAGTACAAAGACAATGCCACTATTAGCGCACTTATAGCTCGGGGTGAGCAGCTGTATCGTGGGACCATTTTTGCAAGTATCAAAGTATAAAAAGTAAGAATAAGTTTTACCCTTCAGGGCAATGTTCTTTTTGCATGTTCACCACAAGTACTGTGGTTAATGGCAGACTTGATTTCCTGCAAAAGGTATCTAATTGGTGGTTGAACATCTTAACACCTGTTTTATTGCCGGGAAGGGTAAAACCGATTATTATTATTATTTTTCATACTTTGAAACTTGCAAAAAAGGTCCCATGTTATGCAAATATGTATGTGTCAATCTGTATTTAAGAGGGATTCACTGCAGTATACAGGACGAGCTCGTAGAGGTCAACATTTTCTTTCTAATTAGGCAAATAATATCTATCAAAGAACAGAGCTTTCTTAGCTGTCTATAAAAGCCTAAAACTCTGTATCCAAACACCTGGATATGCAGTGCAGTAAAAGCCTGATATTACCTGACAAGAAACATAATTAACAGAAAATAATAATAAATTATACGAATATTAATTTTGATTTAAAGCTTTCGTGACTGCAGGGATTCATATTCTTGGTTCTTTCGGTAAAGTCACCACGTAGAAGGGAAACAATAAAATAATAAAAATATAAAACAATAAAATTATCACGACGTTTCGACTGCAACACAAGCAATCATCATCAGGTGTGAAAACCACAGCAAGAACATTTGAAAAAAATATTATTTTATTGTTTCCCTTCCACGTGACTTTACCGAAAGAACCAAGAATATACGAATATAATTTACTTTACAATTTTGATGGGAAGGATCCAGCACTGTGCAACTGTCAATTCCACATTGAAACAGAATACATGTGCACTACTGCGTCATGCTTGACTCTCAATGCCACAGAATAAACAGCAGATGGTGCAGTTATGCTGCACAGTCCAGAGTGCATGCCTGTTTTTCATTTCACGGAATACCTTGGTTACATCAAGTTTCAGATGTTACTCAGAGTACTACTCTAAGAGGCAATAGTCAAGTAATATATAGATTTAGCTTGCGTATTTCAGATATGCACTAAAGTGCACACATAACGTGTAATTCTGCCCCTCAACCAAAGCTGTAATGAACACGATGGCGATGATGCAAATCGATGTGCAAAATATCCTATCAACTGTCGGTGGATTCTTATTATCGGCAGGTTTTTTTTATTTTCATGGATAACATGAGTGACAACAACGTCATTCTATTCGCACGTCGTCTTCATCGTCACGGGAGGTTGATGATTGGCAACTCACAAATGGAATTCATTCGTGAAACATATGGAACCGTAGCCCATGGAAAAGATATAATCTCAAAATTCGTGGAAGGATTTTATGCAGCTCTCGATGTTAAAACAAATGTCATGTTTATCCATGGTTAATTCACCTGGAAGTGGTCTAAAAAATTACATTGAACCTATTTTCAGATGTTAAGTGAATAGCACGGACATGGCCTTTCATCTGCAATTAACACACACACAAGAGGAGTCATCTAGAAATTGACAAATTAGTTTGATCCTATCCGCATATATCCACAGGTGAGAGGGAGGTGATCTTCCTCTAGCACTGCTATCTAAATTTTTTGCAAATGAATTATTCAGAAGTGGTGGAAAATTCATCCTATTCGAGTCAGTCCATGTATACATCACTTGGAAATTGTCTCCTTTATTTTGTGTTTAAAAGGAATCCTCCAGAAGTGGCAGAACATTCATCCGATCTACTATCTTCTCATTGAGCAGAGTGTGAGAGTGCTACCCTCTTTTTGTCGGTGAAAGGCGTGACTCGGAGAAGTGGTGCCATTTTATCCACGTCTTTCTGCAGATATACGCTATTGAGTTATTTTTTGTCGGCAGACGTTTGCCGTTGATCTACATTAGAGATATTTACACTGGCCTAAGCTAATGTTCATTTGGTCATATTGGCATTACT